AGAGACACCAGTGGAGGAGGCAGTTTAAAGGAGAGGGAGGTCGATAGTGCCTACTGCTGAAAGAGGTAAAGAAGAATGAGAAATGAATGGAGACCAGTGGCTGGGAAATTCCGTTTTGCAAGTGAAGGATTGGAGAAATAATGGCAATGGTGCTCAGGGTGCAGTGGGAGGAAGAGGGAATGACAGGAATTGTGGACAGTGGATGCTCTGCAAAGGAGTGTGTGGGTGAAAGGAAGGGGAGGGAGAAGAGACTAGCATGAAGGAGAAATAAACCATGAGATTAACATGGGTTGGATCTGTGTTCCTATGCAAATCTCATGTTGAATTGTAATCCCCAATGTTGGAGGAAAGGCCTAATGGGAGGTGATTGGCTGATAGCAGCCATCAGTCATCACCTGATCCATCAGGTGATTGGATCATGGGGGCGGGTTTCTCATGAATGACTTAGCACCATCCCTTTGGTGCTGTTCTTGTGATAGTGTGTGAGTTTTCCTGAGATCTGGTTGTTGAAAAGTTTGTAGCCCCTCCCACCTCGTTCTTCTCTTCCTCCTGCTCCCACCATGTGAGATGCCTCGCTTCCCCTTTGCCGTCAGCCATGACTGGAACCTTTCTAAGGCCTCCCCAGAGGCGGAAGCCACTATGCTTCCTGTACAGCCTGCAGAACTGTGAGCCAATTGAACCTCTTTTCTTTATAAATTACCCAATCTCAGATATATATGTCTTTGTAGCAGTATGAGGACAGACTAACACAGACACATTTTTTAAAGGATAAAGGTGGCTGGCATATGTTTGTAGGCAGAGGGAGGAAGCCAGTGGAAAGGAAAGGATGCTGGCTTTTCCTCCAGCACTGAGATGCAGCTTGGCTAGTAGGTTGAGGGGCATTCCCCACCCTTGCCGAGTGAGAAAGGAAGAAATGAAGAACACCAGTGGAAAGGGAGGGAGAGGGATGCTGGAGGAGGATGCACATATGAGGGTGCTGGAGTGCAAGGATTTCTCACAGTGCAGCTTCCATTTTCTCATGGAGCTAGAACAGCAGGTTGTCTACTGAATAGGAGAGGGTCAGAGATAGTGCAGGGAACTCCAGGGAAACGGTTGCAATTTGGGAGGAGTTCTTATCTGTAGAGGTAAGTTAGCAGTTTGCTAAAGTATGAGTGCTGAAGCCTTCCTAAATGTGCAGTGGCCCCGTCAGCTCTCTTCTGAGGTGACCGGTGTCTTGGGAGCCGGAGAGGAGAACACATACCACTGGGAAGGTGTAGGTATAGGGACAGAGGGGAGATCGGGAATTGCGTTGTTTATCAGAGTGTCAACATGGGGTCAGGAAACTGAGAGCCCCAGCAGGGATTTCTTCTATACTCCAGATTTCTCATTTGGGGGAGCCAGTCCCCATTACTAATCAGAATCCTCCAGTGTCTTGCTACCTGCTGAAATTTAGGCAGGATATGATGGCCTTTCTCTGTGTACATAAATTTACCCCCTAGCTGGGCTGCAGGCTCCCATCAGGGCATTGACTCTTGGCTGGGGTGAGGGTAGACTCTCAGGGATACCTGCATTTTCTACAACTTTTTAGTGCCATAACGTCATTGATTCATTGACGGCTTTTTCCCCCTACACATTCAAGCCATTCATAACATTTACTCTTCTAATACATTGCAATTTTTTAAAAAAAGATCCTTTTCTGTTTTAGATTTCCTAATCGTCCTCTTTTTAAAGTTCAATTTTGAGATTTCAATAATGTTGGACCAAACTTATGAGTAGATGGAGTGGACATGGCGTGACTTGAAGGGTCCTGGAAATGTCCCTTGTGGAACTGAGGCAGGGCTTTATTATTTTTATTATTTGGTAAAATATTAACCCCTTGAATTACCTATTTGAAAATGTAAATAAGCCCAGTGTGCATAGTCCAATTCCTCTCTCCCCTTCAAGGTGGGTGTTTTGTGCCAATGAGTAAGTACAGGAATCTTAAAAGCCAGAGGTCCGCCTGGGGACACTGAGGAACAAGCTGGGAAACGCTAAAGGTTTTGATTCAAGATGTGGTCAGTTATCTCTCTCCCCATCAGTCATTACTGGTAGACTACATCTGGCAGGCTGGCAACAAGTTAATTCAGGTTCCATTTGGCTGGACGTTAGAAGCCCAAATGGGGGAGTGGGGTCCTTAGGGAAAGGCCAAGTGCAGTGGGTAGGCATCATCTGTCACCCTTACCCATCAGGTTTCTTCTTCCAGACAGGACCAGCAGGAAGCAGGAGGATGCTGAACAGAGGCAGGCCTGAGAGCAACCCCGTGCCTGGTCTGCTCATCCTGGCCAGTACATCTAAAGCTGCTCTTTGTAGTTAGTAACTGGGCTTGCCCTCTTACCCAGCCACCCTGCAGGACTTCATCCCCCACCCCTTCACATACTCAGCCACTGGGGGTTAAAGCATGGCTCAGCGGGGGTGGGAGCCTTGCAGGTTGTTAAGTATTTTGAGTATCACTCCTAAAGAAAAGATTGCAGCAGGAAGGAGAAGGCACACGGCAGACACATACGCCACGTTTTTTAGGTCTTTTCTGCTTTCTGGCTTTTGCTCCAGCACTGAGATGCGGCTTTGCTAGTAGGTTGAGGGCCTACCCTTGGGGTAGACGCAGGAAGAGTGACAGAGGAAGGTCTGAGGACCATTGTTTACAAGAATGCCCTTTATTCATCTGGGGACTGTGGTGAGGAGTGCTGTATCTTAGGGGAGAGAAACTCCCCCCGTGTCCTCTGAATGAAACTCTGATGGGAGGCCCACGTTTGCCTTCACTCCTGAGTTTACTGTCCAGGAAACACATGACCTTATCCTGCCCTGCTCCGGAGCATCACCCCTCATCAAGGAAGCGAGTGATCAGTAAGTAGTTTTAGGGGTCAGACCAAGCACTGGAGCCCAAGCCAGCTTTCTGAAAGAGGGAGAGGAGGCCCCTTAAATAGACATCCTAAACAGGAAAAATGAATCTCTAAGATGAATCCTCATAAAGAAATCCTTTAAGACTTACAAAGTCAGACCACATTAAGACATTTTGGCTGCCTTCCAAAGCAACAGGGACTTAACCAGATAAATTCATTGAAAAATATTTTGAATATTGCAAAACTCAATTTGGCCTTGGGTGACATTGCTTCCAATAACAAAAGGTTTATTTTGAAAACATTTCCCAAGAATATAAATGGAATGCCACACAGTATCATAATAGATTCCTATTACGGTAAAATACTTTTAAATAATAATAATCTGTAGCACTTACTGTGTGTTAGGCGCTTTCTAAGCACATATATATACGCTCCTTTATGGTCTTCACCATCTAACCATGAGGTGGGAGCTCTTATTGTCCTCATTATACCAATGAGGAAACTGAGAGAGAGGTGAAGAAACTTGCTCAAGATCACACAGCTGGTATTCGGTGGAGCGCTGCTTGGCTGTTCTAATGGTCCTAGCTGTCCTCACCCAGAGGTAACTGTTTGTAAACAATCAAAGGGACTATAATAGTGTTCACTGCCTGCTGCTACCAGGCCTGCCCACCTCTTCTTTAAGAACCCACTGTAAGGTTTTTCTTTTCTTTTTCTGGACTTGAAAATGTGCTTGCTTTTGAATCTCCATGGAAAGGACTCAGGCTGACTCATTAGGAATATTTACCCTCAGAATAAAATGGTTATGTAGCCTTAAGTGTTTAAAACAATATTTAACTCTTGGAGCTGCTCTGGTAAGAATCTGTTTAAAATCTCAGTGATATCCAGCCCAGCCTGGAGGGTACTAATTAATCCAAGACTTGTGCCTGTCCTGGGTCTCTCCTTCTACACTTGTCTGCTGCAAGTCAACCCTTTCCAGAAGTCCCTGCCACATGGTCCACATCTTGGTTGAGCCTCTCATCTCATGCATTTGCCACCTCTTTAACATGTCATCCGAAGCCATTTCCCCTTGCTTTTCAAGTCCAGTGCTCTGTCTGTGGCCTTGGTTCAATTCAGCTGTACACACAGATGTGAACTCCCTCACACTGTGTGCTAAATGCTGAAGTTTCACAGGGAAAATGAAGATGAGTCCCTGTCCTGGAGAGGCTCACTGTCTATTACACCCTGTGGCTCTTCCATGGAAGAACTGAAATACAGGAAATGAAGATGCCATGGCAGTGGAGCAGTGGCCACTTCACACTCACGGACTCCACAGCACACACGGATTCACAGAAAGGCATGGCACAGGCTAAAAATAGACATGTCACAGGGAATGTTTTTTTTTCTTTATTAGGCTATTACTTTGTTTGGACTTTTCCCAGTCCAAGGGCCAGGGAACAGAAATTGACAGCCAGACATTTACCATTTGGGATTATCGTCAGGGTGGATTATTCCAGGCCCTAAGTTATTTTGGGGAGACATTGTCATGTGGTGACTCCATATGACAACGATGGGGAGGAGGCAGGTTTTTATTGATCTTGTAGCCAAAGCGCTTAGCCCAGTGCTGGACACACAGTAGGTGTGTCCTACAAAAGTTGCTAAAATCAATGAAATAGAGGTAAGTGCCATTCTTTATTGTCGAAAATAAAGAGGTCAGGCCAGAGGCACTTTCTCAGATAGGCAGACTAGTTACTAAGATCAGGGAGGCCTTAGAAGAGTATAGGTTGGGCAACTCAACAAATGTGTGTGTGTGTATGTGTGTGTACTGTACATACAGAGGCATATATGTTCATTACATGTAGAATAACACTTATTATTTGTGGTGTCCTGTGGCTCTTTCTTAAGCATCAAAACTAGAGCAGTTATCCCAGTTGCCCCACCCAAGGGGTATGGCCATTGGCAATCTCACACCTTAACTCATACTGACTGCTGATGACTCATGGTTCCATTGATCAATGTCAGTTCACATCAATTTTGTATAAATTGTATTAAGAAACACAAGATTTGTCTGCCGTCTTTAGTTTTTTAAAAATCCCTTTCTCTCTACTCATGGTCTGTGAACTTTATGTCACCCTTCGCCTTCCATGGCCTGAAGTTTGGGGCACTTACCACGGTGCAGCAGAGGGGCCAGAACCACCAGAGGAGAGCCAGGGCTAGGAGCAGGAACAGGATCAGCAGGGCGATGGCCAGGATGGAGCCGTCAGACTGCAGGGGCCAAGAGAGAGGCGGTCAGCAGCGGGATGGGACCATGTGTGGTCTTCCCTCCCCAAACTCCCATCACCGATATGCAGATTTAAGGCTCAGAGAGCAGCACAATTTGCCAAGCAAATGGCTGAAATCCTGCCCATCATTCTGGGGCTCATGGCCCTGCAACACACTCTCTTTAGCCAATTTTCAAGGGAAATGAATTTATCTTTTCAGAGAGGCCTTGTTCTTCTCTTTGAGGAACATTCTGAAGGACCAACTTTATAAGAGACAGAGCAGGCATGAACATGGACTCCCACTGCTCATCTGGCCCTGGAACACTATCCCCTGCCCGGTGACAGCCTCCTCACTGGGTCTGATGTCCCAGTCTCTGCCTGGGCTGACTCAGGACCGTTGTACTCTGAATTCAGCCTGCTCCCCCGAACCCATTCACATAAGTGCATGTAACAGATTCATAAAGCTGTCGATGGAAAGTCTATAGCCTGCTGATGGGATGGGAAAAGCCTTGTAGGGTCTGTGAATCCAGGGGGTAGGGGCAGAGCAACTGCTGCTGAACCTGGGAGGCGAGGGGCTACAGTCAGATCAAGTGGCTATGTGGGAATGAGGGAGGGAGGAAGGCATCCAAGACCAGTTTTATCCACTTCAAAATGTGGCGAGGCCAGTCTTAGACACAGTTTCTGTGGACTGAGATGGCTTTAGCAAACAGAGGCCCCACTTGGTATCAACATTCTGAGTTGCTGGTTCAAGGAAGCCGCTTGGGAACACGGGTCTAAGTCCCCTCCACCCTGCCTCCCTACAGCTACTGGCAGTGCAAATCAGCAAAACTTTCTAGGAGACAGGGGGCAAATTGTGATAGGTATCAAAAGCTTCCTTCTGCATAGAAGTGGCTATTCCATTTTTAGTCTAAGAAAATAATCAGATATGTTTGTACAGATAATAACAATGAAAACATAAATGGTTAACAATTAGGGAAAGTTAAATAATGCATTGCAGAATTACCATGCAATTGGTTACTATGTAGACATTATATTGTCAAATAATTTTATTTATTCATATTTTTTGTGACAGGGTCTCACTCTGTCACTTGGGTTGGAGTGTAGTGGTGTGATCATAGCTCACTGCAGCCTTGAACTCCTGGGCTCAAGGGATCCACCCATCTCAGCCTCCTGAGTAGCTGAGACTGCAGCAGGTGCATGTGACCATGCCAGGCTAATTATTTTTTTTGTTTTCTGTAGAGATGGAGTCTCACTTTGTTGTCCAGGCTTTTCTTGAACTCCTGGGCTCATGTGATTCTTCTGCCTTGACTTCCCCCTGTGCTGGGTCTATAGGTGCGAGCTATTGTGCCCGGCCATATTGTCAAATAATATTTAAATGATATTTAAATAAGATGACAAAACACTCCTGGTATAATGAGTAGATTTATGTATATGTCGAAAGTGAGAGAGACAGAAAGACTGTCTGATGTTTACTAATTTTTAAAATTTATATTTACTAAATTATTAATAGTAATTTTACTGGTAGTGGGTTTATGGTAATTTTCCTTTTAAAATCTAGTTTCTTTCTTTCATAATGAGAAAATAAACTACTGAAGTTTTCTTTAAAAAAGTCTGTATTTGGGGGCTTCTCACTTTGGTGTTAGAGCTCACTGGACCCAGGGATTCTTATCCAGGGGCAGGGGATCTATGGGGTACCCACGTGGGCTCAGTGGATCAACACTGTGACCCTCCTGAAATGATACCTGTGATGTTTAGTGCAAGTGTCTTCGCGGGAGACCGTTCACAGCACTATCAGATTCTCAAAGCTGCTCCCTCTCCTCCATTACAGGGAAGGGAGGCTGGGTGGTCTGTCCAGGGTAACGCGGCAGGTGAATAGGAGAGCTGGGACGTGGCTCGCTCCCACTCTGAGTGCTCAGCAGGGGCTTCTGGAAGCTGTTTAAAGGCAGCTCTTACTTGTTGAAACTCCCTGGAATGTCTTTGACCAAAAAGTCAGGGAACTAAACACCTCTGGGCCCTAGCCAGGGCTTGGGAATGCCAGACTGCCCCCAGGGGAGCTGCAGCCTCACAAATGCAGGTGCAGGGCTGGGCAGCCCAGGGGTAACTGGGGGAGGGAAGAGAGCGCAGGGTCCAGACAATGGACAAGCCATGGCAGAGGGGACGCTCTGGGCTGCAACATTTATACACGGGTGATGGCAGAGAGCGATGGGCTCAGTAGTGACAGAATGAAATGACATGTGTTTTCCAAACTTAGGGCTGGCCAAGGACAACCCTCTTAATCTCTCAGTCTCTACAGCCCACACTCATAACAGCAAGATAATAAACCTCACTTGCCTCACTGCATTGACATGGGGATAAAATGATGTAAGCTATCTTATCAAACACTGAGCTGGAACTCACTCTCCCTTTAGTTCTCCAGGGTAAAAAACATGGTGAGCATTTCAGATCATAAATCTATCTGCATCCAGAATAATAAGTGGTTCTGGTCAGTGAGAGGCTTACAAAACAGCAGTACTTCAATAAAGTCTACAGACTACGTTTATTCACGTTATACACAATTTCCCCTCTCCCTGGTTTTATTTTTTCACTTTAGGTGGATGAACTAAAGCAGAAGGGCTGATGTATTTTGGGGGAATTTTTTCACTTCCTTCTAGAAGAAGGTTTTCCATGAAGTAGCGAGAATGAAGGACTTGGTGCAGAATGGGAGGGAGGAGGCTTCCACATCGGGAGATTTCCTGGCTTTGGATAAAGTGATGACTGGCTTTTCTCCAGCCAAGCTTGGTGCCCCTAATGAGGAACAAACTGTCCCCCTAATGAGGCCCAGTTCCCTTGGCTGTGGTGGAGGAAGACAGCCGGGGGGCTCAGGAAGGGGAGAGGTGCAGGAAAGGGGTTCCCGGTGGGTGGAAATGCATGGGGCAGACACTCCTTGAGGAACTTTATCCTCCTCTGGAGATAGCTCTGGGATAAAGCCCCCAAATGTACTGTCTGGTTTTTTTTGTTTTTGTTTTTTTTGAGACGGAGTCTGGCACTGTCGCCCAGGCTGGAGTGCAGTGGCGCAATCTTGGCTCACTGCAAGCTCCGCCTCCCAGGTTCACGCCATTCTCCTGCCTCAGCCTCCCGAGTAGCTGGGACTACAGGCGACCGCCACCATGCCCGGCTAATTTTTTTGTACTTTTAGTGGAGAAGAGGTTTCACCATTTTAGCCAGGATGGTCTTGATCTCCTGACCTTGTGATCCGCCCGCCTTGGCATCCCAAAGTGCTGGGATTACAGGTGTGAGCCACCGTGCCCAGCCATGTACTGTCTGTTTTTTGAGATCTTCCAGAAACCACTGGATATCCAGTTCAAAAGAAGGAAAGGCATGACTTTTTGATAAACTTAGAGCTAAAGCTGACGTTTTAGAAGGAGATAACATGTACATGCAACCTCAGAGGTTCATTCATTTATTCATTCAGCAAACATTTATTGAGGGTCTATTCTTTCCCCATTAAGCAGAACCAGGAAATACAGGATTGATTGGCTAGTCAAGATGCTCATGTTCCACTGGCTAATGGGGCCGGGGCATTCATATAAACAATTAATCACATGCAGTGGTCTACGCGTTACTCAAGAGCTGTACATCCTGCACCTTTTGTGTCAGGTAGTGAACAAAATAGGCGGTCTTTATTTTTAAAGAGCTTACATTTTGGTTGAATAAGAATAATGACAATGATGATAATAACATTGTTGCTAGCACAGTGAACATTCACTGAGCATTTACTATGTGCCAAGCAAGGTTCTACGTACTAACATGCTTTCCTTATGCTAACTCATTTAATTCTCATTAACAATCTTGTGAATTCAATAATATTGTCTTTCTCATCTCACTAAAAATACCAAGGCAGGGAGAGATGGAGAAACTTGCTGATGGCCACGTGGAGAAGCCAAAATTTAAACGTGGGCAGTTTAGTTCCATAGCTCACAGCAGACTAGCCAGCTATTGTTCTTAGCAAGTAGCCAAGTACTGAAGAGCCGAGTGTCTGGGAACTAGCACTTCACTGAGGAGGTGACACTCCGCAGAGCAGGGCCAAGGAGGTGTCAGCATTCCTGCACAAAAAGGCAAGCACAAATGCCTGGGGTGGGGCAGGGGCAGTGGAGGTCCACGTGCTGGGAGCACAGCACGAGTGCGGGTGGAAAGGAGGTCGGGTCCCCACTGTGGGAGGACACACAAGCCAGGCTGAGGAGTGTGGCTTCCATCCTGAGCCCAGGGGAACCCTTAGTGGCTTTAACCCGGTGACAGTGGGGCATCGTGATCAGATTTGCTTCTTGGAAAGCAAATGCTGTGGACACTGGAGAGTATGGACTGGAGGAGGGAAAGATTCAGAATAGAAGGCCCAGGTGTAGGGCAGCTGCAATTCTGCCCAATTCTTCTGGGCAGTGTCATTTCCCGAGGTCACTCTTGAAATGCTTGCATTTTGACGGCCATGTTCAGTGCTAACTTACTTAACAACAGTTAACCACTGTGCTCAGTGCTATCTATGCATTCTCTCATTTAATTCAGTGAGCCTTGGTAAAACAGCCTTGTAGGTACCATTACCCCCTTTTGCAGATTAGGAAAACTGAGACTCAGTGAAGATATGTAACTCACTCAAGACCTCCACATACCACCTATGGACATACTTATTTTTATATGTTCACAATGTTAATGTTACAAAACTAGGATTTGAATCCATGTGGTCTAATTTTAGAATCTTGACACCCCCTCCCACACCTAACCATTACACTATAACTTCAGATTTATAACAATTTAGTTAAGAAATATCTGTACTTTAAAGACTAAACTTTAAGCAGATGCAACAGAAGTTGAGACCATGTTTACAGTTGCTCCTTCCGCTTTGATAGAAGCAGTTCATTCACAGCGTGGATGTACACACAGCATGGGTGAATGTGGGCTTCAGAGGAAAGTCAGAGAGGGAGGGGGACCATGGTAGAGGCTGCCTTCCCTTCAGATTCTTGGCTTGGAGTTTTA